GGGGCGGCGGTGGGAGATGGGCCGGTCGTGCCCGGCTGCTGGCCGTGCTGGTGGCGGGGCTGCTCGGCGGAGCGGGGGGGTTCGGCGACGAGGAGGAGCGGCGTTGCGACGCCATCCGTATCGCCATGTGCCAGAACCTGGGCTACAATGTCACCAAGATGCCCAACCTGGTGGGACACGAGCTGCAGGCGGACGCGGAGCTGCAGCTCACCACCTTCACCCCCCTCATCCAGTACGGCTGCTCCAGCCAGCTCCAGGTGGGTTCCGAGGGGGGGAACACACCCCCCCGGGGGGGTCCTCTTTGTGCGTGGGGAGCGGTGGGGTCCCGGGGAAGCTCCCGGCCGGTCTCTGCCTCCCCCCACCCCCCCGTCCCCGCGTGTTTCTGTTGTACGCGAAGTGCCGCGACCCCCGTGAACGGGAAACCGAGGGACCCCCGCCGAGGGGTTCCCCCTTCTCCCGGGCGAAGGAACGGCAAAGGTCCTTGTCCCCCCCGCGGGCGTGGGCTCCATCGGACAAACCCCGGCTCGCTGCGTGGGGCAGAGCTCCCCCAATTCGCCCGCCAGCCCCCTTCGGCTGCCGCGTCGCAGAATCGCGCTTATCCGAGAGAAGGACGGCGTTTCGTTACCGGCGTAAATACCTACGGGACCGTCTGGCGAAGGGCAGATCGCGAACCAAAGTACTTCAGTAAATGCCTTTTCTCTCTGCGTGTTTGCTAGCTGTGATATCCAGGCAGCGCCTAGAACAGATCCATGCGTTTGTTTAAACCGCATCGATTTGGTTTTTTTGCTTTCCTAAATCGCACCCTTGAGGTTTACGGCTGGCTAAATCCCGCTGGCTTTATTGAAACCCGTGGGCCAAATTTACATGGAGCTAATCTGGGGAGTAAAACGTTCAGGCTTTGGCTTCGGACCACATTCGAACTGAAAAAAGACAACATTGTTAGGGGTTGGGTTTTTTTTTTCCTCCTTTGTTTTTATTGTTCTTGGTTTATTTGTTTTATGCTGCTTCCTGTTTTTTAAGGCAAAGGACCAAATATTACAGCTAAAAAGGCAAAAAGAGAAAACTCGTTATATTTTGACCTGTGTCATTTTCCCCTAACACACTTGTGCTTTCTGTTTCTCTCTTCCAGTTCTTCCTTTGTTCGGTCTACGTCCCGATGTGCACAGAGAAGATTAACATCCCCATAGGTCCCTGCGGTGGCATGTGCCTCTCCGTCAAAAGAAGATGCGAACCCGTTTTAAAAGAATTTGGATTTGCCTGGCCGGATAGCCTAAACTGCAGCAAATTCCCACCCCAGAATGATCACAACCACATGTGCATGGAGGGCCCCGGAGACGAAGAGGTTCCCCTCCACAGCAAGACCTCCTTGCAGCCTGGAGAAGAGTGCCACAGCATGGGATCTAACTCGGATCAGTACATCTGGGTGAAGAGAAGCTTGAACTGTGTCCTCAAGTGCGGCTACGACGCTGGCCTCTACAGCAGGTCAGCTAAGGAATTCACAGATATCTGGATGGCCGTCTGGGCCAGTCTTTGCTTCGTCTCAACTGCCTTCACAGTCCTGACCTTCCTGATTGATTCATCCAGATTTTCCTACCCGGAGCGCCCAATCATATTTTTGAGCATGTGCTACAATATTTATAGCATTGCTTATATTGTGAGGCTAACTGTGGGCCGGGAAAGGATATCCTGTGATTTTGAAGAGGCAGCAGAACCTGTTCTTATCCAAGAAGGTCTTAAGAACACAGGATGTGCTATAATTTTCTTGCTGATGTACTTTTTCGGGATGGCTAGCTCCATCTGGTGGGTTATTCTGACATTGACCTGGTTTCTGGCTGCAGGACTCAAGTGGGGCCATGAAGCTATAGAAATGCACAGCTCTTATTTCCATATTGCAGCCTGGGCTATCCCCGCGGTGAAGACCATCGTCATTTTGATTATGAGGCTGGTAGACGCAGATGAGCTCACCGGTCTGTGCTACGTGGGGAACCAGAACCTAGATGCGCTGACGGGCTTTGTCGTCGCTCCGCTTTTTACCTACCTGGTCATTGGGACTTTATTCATTGCAGCGGGACTAGTGGCCTTATTTAAAATCAGGTCTAATCTCCAGAAAGATGGCACTAAAACTGACAAACTGGAAAGGCTGATGGTCAAAATCGGTGTCTTTTCAGTGCTGTACACCGTCCCGGCAACGTGTGTCATTGCCTGTTATTTCTACGAAATCTCCAACTGGGCCGTTTTCCGCTATTCGGCAGATGATTCCAATATGGCAGTGGAGATGCTCAAAATTTTCATGTCCCTCCTGGTGGGTATTACATCAGGTATGTGGATCTGGTCAGCCAAAACTCTGCACACGTGGCAGAAGTGCTCAAACAGACTGGTGAACTCAGGGAAAGTGAAACGGGAGAAGAGAGCAGATGGTTGGGTGAAACCTGGGAAAGGGAACGAGACCGTGGTGTGAGAACAGGACGACACCCCGATGGTCTGCTCTCCCGTGAAGGACTGATCGTGTGTAAGCATTGCTGTGTAAATGTTGAGAGTAGAGTAGGGAGATGGTTACACAGCCTGTCTCTGGGGGATGGAAGAAAAAGCCTTAAAGAATAAACAGCAAAAGGATCATGCTGCAGATACAATAGCCATAAACCGTGCTGCCCAAAATAGGAAAGCCCAGGAAGGCTTTAAAAGCTGTGAAATATCCAAACACATTATCTTCCTTTTTATTTTTTATTTTTTTAAATAAAGCAGGATGCAATACACTGAAGTCTTTAGAAGCTGAGGGACTGTAGCCCACAGCTGTGGGATGTTGTTTTCATCTGATGGAGGAAAGGCGGTGCAGGGCCAAATTCTGGGCTGATTTAGGGGCCAGTTACCAGAAGACAGAGCACCCAGGACCTCAGATGTCTTCTTTCCGAGTCCAGCATCGTGAAGGAAGCGCCTACCGAGGTTTGTGTCTTTATGCCCTGGGGAATTCTGCTGCTCCCATACAGAGGGGACTCCACAAGTCAGCCAAGGCTCAGGGTCTCCAACAAATACCAGGTGGACGTTCCAGGTCTGAGAGTTACCCATAATGAGTAGGATTTAGTGAGGTATTAGTGAGGACGATTCTTTAAGTCATCTGATGGTCTAATAATAATTTCGACTCATTGTTTTTACCATCTGTAAGCTGGTCTGAATTGAGAGTTGGCTCTGCCTCGAGCAGGAATTTGGACCTCCCTAGGTCCCTTCCCACCTGAATTATTCTGTGGTTCTATCAGTATTTCTAATTTTTCAAAAGCTTTACTCAAGGCCATTGTCAGAAGTAGAGGAGTCAGTGGGAGCTGGGAAACTGTGTATGGTCTTCTGCATGGATTATCGTTATCCGCCTGCCTCCACTCCTGTCCCTTCAGGTGCTCCTGCTGTTTCCAGCGGACTACTTTATTCTGCTGTATTTAATAGCTTTAAATAAAGTCTTACGTTATAATGTTCCTTCCTCCAGGAAAGCGAAAAATGAGTTGAGGGTCTCTTCAAACAATGCCAGTTTTCTCCATGTAAACGTACCTGGCTCTCTCTGGAGACCAATTGCATGAAGCAATTAAGTCTTAATATATTTCATTCAGTGCGATGGTATCGCCGCAGACGCCAGTCTGGGGAGAAGTGAAATGTTAAGTTCCTTGGCAACCTCATGTTCACACAGCTCAGTTGTATAATTATGTGTGTCAGTTACAATTAAAAGAACATTCTCAGCCCCTGACATCGCAGTACAGCTGACTGCCTCACAACGATGCTCCAATTGCTCACTGACAGCTATGGAGTTTGGGGGTTTTTTTAATATATATTTACATGCAGAACGTGAGCAGTCCTTCAGTCCCCAGTTTTTGTAAAGGGATCCCAAGAGAAGAGATCCAACTTCTTGCTGAATAATGTTGTTTCATAGCAACTGTTGAGTTTTCTTATCCTTTTATTTGAGGAGGCATCAGCTTGTGCTCACGGGGAGCTTGAACCTCGTGTCGGGGGCTCGTTTGGCTAATAAGAAAGGTGATGCAAATAGAAATATCCCAGAAGCACTTAAGAGAACACTGTTCTGATGCACTATCTCTTTGAAGGACCTTTGGTTTTATCTGTGCGCCCTAAACTTTTGCTTCATTTGTTTGTGTGGAACCTCGTCAGCTGCAGAGCATCCGCCCCAGTGCCCCGACTTGCGCGACCTTCGAGGGCAGCTGAGAACAGGCACTGCTCTGTTGCAGTCCTCGCTTTTCACACAGGTGCCCCGTGTGCTTCCCAAACCACAATTCATTCCAGCTCTGGCCGTGAGCACTAATCTGTCCCAGAAGTGCGTATTGTTTCAATGTCAATGTTGAAACATGTGCTAGAGCACTTTTTTTTTTTAAAAAAAAAAAAACCAAAAAACACAAAACCAAACCCCAAACAAACCCTAATTGCAGTCTTTGCGGTTGGGCTCCCTCTCCAGCAGAACAAGTGACAACTTGACACATTCTGCTCAAGACGCACAAGCATTGTCTTGGCCAATGCCACATACCAGCCGAGCCTTTTCATTGTCTCCGTAAAGTCTTTCGCTATTAGTGTTGTGTTTGGATCTGGTTATTCCTCTGTGAACAAGGAGTTCTGCAAGTAGGACGTCTTCAGATGGCCGAGTTTCTCCATCGTGAGATCTTTGTCCTGGCGCAGAGAGGGATGTAAAGTCAGCAGCTATATGTTGACTTTCACGGGGTGAGGACACAGTCGTAGCCTTTTCTTGTAACCTGCTATTGGGCTGTGCCAAGGTGTCATGTTCACTCAAGTGTCCTTCACTCTGAAATGGTTTGGATACTCTACTGGCCGACACGACCCATGTTTGACCTGACTGATTCAATAAACAGCGTTTTTAACCATGTTATGTACACAGAAGTGAATGTTAAGTAGTTCCTTGTTATCAGATCCCTGCATCTCTGCCTGTGACCCTGGTGACTGTGACAGACGGGTGTCCCCAGTGATTTGGGACGTTGGAAGTGAGTCGGATGAGGATAGCACTGTGTAGCCCTATGAGGGACCCGGGGGAATGTTCCATTAAAGAGTGTGAGGGACTCAAAATACTATGGGGAGGAGGTGGACTGGGGAGAGACACCAGCTGCTGTTCCTGAAGGAACATCTTTCCCAAGCAATCAGGGGGACACTGTACCAACCCAAAGCAAAAGTAGGTGTTGCAGCAATGAAACCATTCCATAAATGTATTGATCCACATGCATTTACCTTGCTCCACTTCGGGGCTGTGTGAGTGGGAAGTCACAGCAGATAGCCTAAAACCCAGTGGTTGAGAAGAGTGGGTATGTGCAACTCGGATGTTGTCTCGTTTCAATGTTGTTATGAATTTAAAGCCAAAAAATGTGTGACTAATCCTGTCTTGGAAGCGCAGTTGCTGTGGTTATACAACTAGAAACTTTACAGCGGTTACCTTCCTTGGGCAGTCCCTGCTCCCCTCTCTCCCCCTTCAGCGTGTGCTCTTCTCACTGCAGGTTTCAGAAGCGTCTGCCAGAGAGGTACAAGCTTAGCTCTTAGGTTAAACAGACAAGTTAGCTCCTTTTTCTGAATTCTAAGGAAATAAATAGACACTGATTATTTTGGGGTGTACAGAAAATATATCTACTTCAATGTATGTACTGTAAATTTCTAATTTATCGCTGTAAAAAAAAACCAAACAACTTTGCTATTTAATTTTTATATCAAAATAAAATTTTAACCTCTGTGGATAACTAAGGTATTCCTGGCAGCCCTCACGTTTTTGGTGAGTTTGTTTCTTAAATTGGCTTCCTCGTTGTTGTTGGAAGTCCTTTTTTCCCCTGAAGGAAGAAGGATTGAAATGCTCATGCTGCGGTGACGGGGTGCTCCGAATGGGTTAATCCAGCACGATTTGTGGGTTGTGAGAGATAACCGAGAACAAAACAACATTGGGCGATGGTGAAAGTACGTGCACGCTTCAGGGCTTGCACACGGGATGGACAGAAACCCTTTCAAAGTCGGTACACGGGTCCCGGGTGCTGGCTGGGGATGCAGCTGGAGCTTTGGGCTTGTCTGAGCACGTCTCTAAAACCAAACAAGAGTGCAAGATGGAAACACAACCAGCCGCTGCTGGAGCACTGCTGTCGTGTGGCTCCTGGGGAGGGCAGAGCCTCCTGTCAAGCTCCTTTTTATTTCACGTGTTATGGAATACGTGCATCCAAAGATGCACTGAGCATTCGCATCTGGGGTGTATGATGGACAAGGGCAGCGTCACCACCTGCCTGTGGAGTGTATGAGAACTATTAGTGGCTTTTGGAAGGGGCAAATTCTGCTTTTAGTAACGTGCTTGAAATGAGTTTGCTCCTAGCGGCAATTTCAGGCCTTCAGAGAACAGATTCAATTGATCGTCTGCATTTTCTTGCAATGTATTTTTTAAAAAATTAAGCTTATTAATGCTCTACTTATTTTTCATTCCTTTTTGTCATTTCTGTTCACAGTTAGGATATACAGTGGCAGCGAGGAGTTCCTTCTTTTTGTGTACATCCCTCGCCAGTTTCTCTGACACTGATAGTACAGTTTGCACTATTAGTCATCATCTAAACCCACTTAATCATCTCCATCATGAAGCATTCTCTGTGCAGGATTACTTAATTAGCATAATGTTATTCTAATAAGAACCTAAATCAGACTAGAGTGGATAATAGTGAGGGTGCGCTATAAAGAAGACGGTAGGAATTATCACCTGTGTATCTGTAGCTGATCAAGTTTTGAAGAGCAGCATCTAAAACTGGTAATTAGAGTTATTTGCTCATGCCTTTGGCAGCTCATCACTATAATGTTCTCAGGTTGGTGATTAATGAGATCTCTGAAACTTATAATTAGGAGTCTTTAATATAGCTACAGTTAAATGTAACAACCATAAAAGAAAAGAGCTTCTGGGGGAGGGAGCGGGATCTCCCTCTTGTCGTCGGGGCTGTTCGCACCAACAGATCCTCAGGCATAGCGTTCGAGATGGTGTTGGCTGCTCCAGGTCTCCCTGATGGCCACTTGTCCTTACACAAAATAGTCTTTATGAGGACTTTTGGTGGTTATTTTGCTATATAGGCTTGGGTTGTTTTGCTTGGTTGGTTGGTCCTGTCATGTGTTTTTTTTAAGCTGTCTTTAAAGAGAGCAAATGTTAAAAAGTTTGTAGCAAAGGAGACCAGAGTTCTGCTGCCAGAAATCAGGAGCATCCTAAGCTTCAGTGATGCAAAAATGTGGTATCATGAGACCCTGGCTTCGCTGGTGGAGTTTCCGCCACACCACCTCCATCCCCAGCCACTCATTCCCATAACTGTGCCACATTTCAGCTCCTCCTTCGTTTTGCCAGTACGACTATTTGCAGCGCTGCGCTGCAAAGCAGATCAGCAAAACGATCTAGGTTAAAAACATCCATCAGAGTTTTTGCTTTGGTTTTTTGCTGGAGCTTTATTTTTAACTTGGATCATGTCAGTGATCTGGTTTATGCAGCAGCCCCACCACGAGCTGTACTGGCACAGCGAGGCAGCAAGAACTGCCGGGGGAGCAGGGATCTGGATTGCATCGCCTTGGCTCCTGCAGGCATCGTCCTGTGGAGCTGCTCCCCGATCCCTCTTGCACCATCATCCC